GGGGCAACCGAGCACTTCCGCTCCGTACTGCGCGGCACCGCCTCCGGGCCTCCAAGATGGCCGCCTGGGCGGGGCCGAGGGCCTCCAACCATTTCCGCTTCCGGCGACGGCGCTCAGGCGGTTGGAGGGGCGGTCCTCTCGGCGGAAGAAACGTAAGCGGCGGAAATGCGCCGCGCCGCGCAGTCGCAGTCGCGTCCTCTGGCTCCGAGCCCGCATGAATCCGCTCCAGAGATTGTTATTGCCCAGGGAATGGGCCCCCCGCGGCCACGCCCCCTAGCGACCGACGAGCCAATGGGGGAGGGACTTGCTGGTTGCTAAGGGAAACCGCTAGTGGCAAGATGGCAGCCTCCAGCCAGAGAAACCCTAGCTCCCGCCTGCAGCGCCGGGACCTGCCCCGGCGGCCGCCGCAGGATGGTAACGGCTGCTGGCCCGGGCCGGACCACGGGGCGGGTGGCCGGCGGCCCTGCACCCTACCGGACCTACGTCGGAGTAGGAGGGAGGCGGGCAGGGCCCCGGATCCGGGACTGGAACCTTTGTCCCCCGATCCCAGAGGGGCTCCACCTTGCGCCCCTACGAGCCCCTGCCGGTCCTCCCGGAGTCCTCGTCGCCTCTGACCCTGGAAGGGGCGCGCCTCTGCGGTGGGCGGGGCCATGAGACCTGGAGACCGAGCTGGGAAGAACCGGAGCCTGGACGCGCTGTTCATAGATTTGATAGGAGCTGTGCTTAGAGTCAAAGAAAAGGGACCGGAGTAAACTCTGAGTCCACGCCACTACCTTTAGGTAGAGCCTGACTCTCTATGACAGATGCGGTAGTCTAGTCTTACCCACACTTTCCTAGAACGGCTCCCTGCAAGTTGTGCTTTAAAAACAGCGGGACTCTGGGTGGGGTTGGGGGGTCTGCCCTTTCCAGGAACTGCCAGAGTTGGGAGTTGGGGGATAGTGGCTGGGCTCAGCAACTGAATGGCAAAAGATGGGCAGGCCCTCCTCGAGTGCAAAGTGTGTTTTGTCCTGAGGCAACAGGAGGCCATTGGAGGGTCCCTGCAGAGAAATGGCAGAGTGGGCTCTTTGCCCCACTGTGCCCTCGCCTTTCTCTGGCTAATTAGGCTCAGCTCAAATGTCCCCTCTCCAGGAAGGCTCCCAACTCTATGACAGATGCGGTAGTCTAGTCTTACCCACACTTTCCTAGAACGGCTCCCTGCAAGTTGTGCTTTAAAAACAGCTGGACTCTGGGTGGGGTTGGGGGGTCTGCCCTTTCCAGGAACTGCCAGAGTTGGGAGTTGGGGGATAGTGGCTGGGCTCAGCAACTGAATGGCAAAAGATGGGCAGGCCCTCCTCGAGTGCAAAGTGTGTTTTGTCCTGAGGCAACAGGAGGCCATTGGAGGGTCCCTGCAGAGAAATGGCAGAGTGGGCTCTTTGCCCCACTGTGCCCTCGCCTTTCTCTGGCTAATTAGGCTCAGCTCAAATGTCCCCTCTCCAGGAAGGCTCCCAACCCTTCCATCAAACCCTCCCC